TTCGGGCAATTGCAGTTAGAGTGGAAAGAAGTGTAGACACTGTGGTTAGGTGTTGTCAGACATGGCTTCGAGAAGGCCGTACGCAAAGAGCAAGGGGCACTGGACGCCGCCGTAGAACAATAGACCGTGAATATCGCCGCCTAAGATTATTGGCCTTAAGGGACCGTTTCGCCACTACCAGGTTCATTGCAAATGAATGGTTTGCAGAACACGGAAGACCTATTGGCATGCGAAGTGTTTACCGACGAATGAGAGGTTTTGGCATGTTTTCATACCGGCCACACTGGGTCCTCCCTTTAACTCGAGAACACCGACGTAAGCGCCTTGAGTGGTGCAGACAACGGTCACTCTGGGATCAGGAATGGAACAATATTGTCTTTAGTGACGAGTCTCGATTTTGTTTAGGCATGAACGATGGTCGTGCCAGGGTTAGCAGGCGACGTGGTGAAAGGAGGAATCCACAGTTTTTTGTTGAAGGACATGTTCATCACACTGTTGGAGTTATGGTTTGGGGTGCTATAGCTTATGGTTCCAGGTCACCTTTAATCTTAATCAGAGGTAACATGAACGCGCAGCGTTATATCCACGAAGTTCTAGAACCCCATCTTTTACCCTATCTTGACACCCTGGCAGATCCAACTTTCCAACAAGATAATGCCCGACCACATGTTGCAAGAGTCACAATAGACTTCTTTCAACATAATGATGTCACATTGTTACCATGGCCACCAAGATCTCCCGACTTATCCCCAATTGAGCACGTGTGGGATATGATGGGTAGCAGATTGCTCAATTTGCAACATCCTCCTCAGACTCTAGAAGCACTTCGAGAGGAGTTGGTGGTTGCCTGGAATGAGATACCACAGGAGGACATTGGCCACCTGATCAGAAGCATGCCTAGGCGCGTTGGAGAATGCGTAGCACATCAGGGTGCATCCACACATTATTAGGTCAAAGGGCTTTAAAGCAGTGCAATCATTTTGAAATTTTTATCATTTACTTATTATACTTCATCAAGTACTTATACAAAATTTTATTAAAATAAAACCATTTAAACTGGGTGTTCGGATTTATATGTCACTTAGTATATTTATTAAGTGACACGGACAATTGATAGAATGAACTCTCAAGTCTACAAGTTAGAGATAACCTCTAACTCTTAAATGGAGGTCAAACATGTGAACCTACAGAAAGTTCCTAAAAGTTTAGCATGATTGATTGATGAAAAATTATTTAACAAGGATTTCAATTGTGATCATGGATTTTACCGTGAATCTCACTTTGAAAGTCATCAACCGTTTTTTTCACACCAGAAATGGAACATTTTAGGTTTTTCAATAGGTTCTCACGAAATAATACTTAAGATTCAAGGTCAAACACAAGGTCATAATCGAACTCATTAGTCAAACTCAATATCGACGTGACCTTGATCTTTTTCAAGAATACTGTTTCGTTACTTCAGTATAATAGAACCTATGAATACACATGGTGTAAACGTTATGATAGTCATTATTTAAATGGATGATAGAAGGAGTTAAAACAAGCAAAAAGTATCATATAACATGGGGGTCAATCCGGCATTTTTTTTAGAGAAAAGCGACTTTAAAGTAAAATAAAATCTGACAACGCCGCAATGCCAGCCGCAAATTACGACGGAACTCAGTGTAAATCAAGATGGAGTTTGTTATTTTTCGGCTTTTATGTATTATTTCATTATTTGATAATGTACTCGTAAAATGCAAACAATTAAAAAAAAACGGACTTACCACCAACTGACTCAGCGCTTCATTTGGTGTGTGAAAGTTTATTGAACATATTAAAAAAATCAACTTATAAATAGGGAACACAATTTTGAAACATACATTTTCTTTTTAAAACCCACACTGCACTTTTTTTGTATTTAAAGAAGGTGTTCAAAATGTCGTCCTCCACCTTCCACACAAGCTTCATTACGACGAACCCAGTTTCTTCTTACTCTAGGTCCTCGAAGTTGTTCATTTATTCAGAATGACGAAAAAAAAAGGTATGGATTGGCTAAAAGCAGCTTAATATACATTCTCGGACAATAACCCCTCTTCCAGATAATCTATCTGATCCAAATGAAATCAATGACTATTTTATGTTAGTTTACAGTACAAATAATGCCTCGGAAGAATTATGTCACCTATACAAAACTCGTCACTTCTTTCCACCTGATTCTTTTTCATTCAGAATCATTGATCCTTCAGAAATTCTACAAACTATTAAATCTCTTAAATCAGATGCCAAAAGAATAGATGGTCTTACGCTAACTATGGTAAAGGTAAGCCTACCCGTTATATTTTTCCACTTAGTTCACATTATCAATCTATGTCTTGAAACCGGTTACTTCCCTAAAATTTGGAAGCAAGCACTGATAATACCTATAGGAAAAACTTTTAAACCCGGTCTCCTATCAGATCTTCGACCAATCAGTTAACTACCTATTTTGTCAACAATCCTTGAAAAGATTGTAAAACTTCAACTTACATCATACATTGAAGTACATCAGATAATCCCACCTAATCAATCGGGATTTAGAAAACATTATAATACAACATCAGCTTTAATAAACATATGCGACAACATCTTTCGTGTTCTGGACAAAAAAATGGGTTTAGCTTTAATATCAGTCGACTACTATAAAGCCTTAGGTAAGACAGATCATAAACTTTTATGTGCTAAGCTACGTTCTGTTGGTTGTGATGAGGTTGTAATCAAATTTTTTGAAAGCTATCTTAAAAACAGGACTCAATGTGTTTCAGTGAAGGGTATTACATCTGGAGTGCCTCAGGGTTTCATTTTGGGACCTCCTTTGTTTTTAATATATACATTTGACTTATCTAGATCAGTTTACAACTCTGATATTCAATCGTTCGCTGATGACACCCAGCTCTCGCATTGTTTCGGTATAGAAGATATACAGAGCATTGTCCAAGTATTACAAGCAGATATTGATAGTCTATGCAAATATTCAGCAGATCACAACTTCAGCATAAACCCGGAAAAATCTAAGATTTTATTGTTTTGTTCAGACAGCAGAAGGAACGACGTTGTTTCGCTCTTAAATGTGAACATAGACAATAAGCAGCTCGAGTTCAAAAATAGCGCAAAAATATTGGGTGTAGAAATTGATAGAAAATTAAGATTTACCGAGCATGTAAAAAATCTGACACAAAAAACCTATGCACGTTTACGCAGTCTTTATTCAAATAGATATCTGCTAAACTTCAAAATGAGGAAAAAACTTTGCGAAACCTTCGTTGTGTCTGTCTTGAACTACTGCAGTATTCTATATTTTCCCTGTTTGTATCAGATCACTAAACACAGAATCCAATTGATTAAAAACAGCTGTGTTCGCTTTATATTCAGCATGAGAAAGTTCGACCATGTCTCTCACAAATAAGCAGAGTTTAGATGGCTAAAGTTAGACCAGTTGGTCAAGTTACATTTTTCCACATTTATCCATAAAATTTTAATTAATTCTAAGCCAGAATACCTATGTGAAAAAATTATTTTTAATAACACCATTCACAATAGAGCTACTATATTAGAGACAGGTACGTTATCAGAATTCCGAAGCATACAACATCTCTGTTCCAACGAAGTTTCTCATATAACGTTGCAGCAATATATAATTCTTTGGACAGTAAATTTAAGACCATGAGTTTACCATGTTTCCGCTACAATGTTAAGTTGACTTATTTGAACGATTAACTTTTCCCTCAATATTTCATAGACCTTTTTAGAGTAGCAGTATGTGCACACAAAATATCTCATTGTCCACTTCTCATATGGGTTATAAGTGATTTGTTATATATATTTTGCATTTTTTTTCTGTTAGATGTTAACAACGTAATATTTAACTTTAGTGGTTAAGTGTTAGAGTAGCATATTGCTAAACTTCGCCACTATAGTTACACTTTATATACAGGGTGACTTTGAAGTTCAGTCATTAATTTTCAGATAATGATTGTAGAAGGAAGATAAACCAAAATATGTGTGTAAAAATAAAAAAAAAATTAAAAAAAGATTTTACCTTGTTTTATAAAGTATCCTCCCGATAAGTATTTCAGTGCGAACTTGTATTTGATCGTGAGGTCTTGGAGCACCGGCATGCCGTCCATATGTGAGGTCTTAAGTCACCTGATTCACGAACCCGTTGTACTACTTTAACAAAGGCACGAGGGGTTGGTTGCACTCGATTGGGAAACCGATCCGCATAAACATGTGCCATTTTTTATTTCGTTTGAGCCACGCAACAGACACCACTATTCACTACCGACTGACACTGACTGTATACAACTGAATGAAATAATTGTAAAAACATCGTTCCAAATTCTTTCGCTTTTTTGTTTCCGATGCGATGAACCGATAAGGCGGATTATATCCGTTGTCGCCAAACACGAGCACATAATATTATTATTGAGACAGGGCGGTACTCAAACTTCCAAAGGGCTATAGCTTTGTTACTTTAATTTTACCAGAAAAATGGTAAAGGAAAAAAACATTTCTTTTGATCAGATCTACTCACTGTTAAAATAAATGACTCAACTTCGAAGTCACCCTGTATATATACACATGTATTGTAACTTTTTTTTTTTATACTCCAACTACCACGAGGGCCTAAGGCCCAAACACCCATTTTGTACCGTGGGGCTATAGGGGGATACAGGGGAAAATATATTGCAAATACTGCCTTAATTTCCAGACAATCGTACAGCCTAGTACCAACAGACGCCTGTCCATTTATCAGAGGTGCCGTTTTCCAAGTTTGGTACCCGTTTGATACAGAAAAGTACTTGTGGTTGTGTTCTGTTGAGGACGTCTTTCTCGTAGTCGTCACTACAATGCTCATCATTTACTCCAAAACAGGACCTCTCACTATGATATTGTTCATTATTGCTCAACTTAAAATAATCCAACATAAAGTGACGATTATATGCCAGACGTCGGACAGGAACGCAATAACTACGAATATCAAGCAATGTTTGAAGGATCATCAAGATTGTATCAGGTTTGTATCATGGCTAAACATTAAGTGAGGCGTGTCGCAGCAAAAGGGCCTATATCCATTTTTGGTAAAAAGTGAGTAAAAGGCGGTTATGATATCTGTATCGATAGCCGCATCAACTGGTCAAGTATTCATATGTCAAAGGTGTCTTTATCCCATATAAAACTACGATGAAATATAGGGTGTCACGGCAAAAGGTTCTATATTTACGATCATCAACGCATCAAACAGGCCTATATCCAACAAGCCAATCAAACCACTAGAATTCTGTCATGCGGCTTCGAGTTTCATCAAGGCCGTGGGTTTTACGTTTATTAGAGTTTGGAGATTGTTGTTTGTATTGTAAAGTATAGGATTGTAATAAAACTTCTTTAGTTTGTTGAATATGAACGAGAGTATTACCCCATCGGCACTGGGAAAAGCTAGGCGGAGTACTGGAGATCCTAATAAATGGAAAAGGAACGTTGCAAAATCTAAAAGGTAGGTACCTTATCCTTATCATGACAGATATAGCGAATCAGCAAGTAAAAAAGTTGTGTATTTAATTTTTTTTTCGTTTTCAATATTTTGAGAAGTACCTTTTTCAGCATTTAATGTCGAGTGCCCTTGCCTTGATACCCGGTAGGCCTTTTGGTCTCCAGACCACGCCTAACAATATTGCATACTTTCTATTGCGAGCTATCAAGTTAATTTTTTGTAGATATGATCCTCCAGGACCACCAGAATATCCTTGTTGCGGCCACCTTAACAAGTCCTTCAAGTGCAGAAAGTTAACAATGAGAGACATCAAAGAATTCCATGAGAATTTTTACTCTACGCGCGCAAAGAACTCCCAAGATGCGTTTATCAGTAAAACAGTAAAATAATGAGTGAACTTACATTTCACAGAATGCGATACAAAGTGTTTTTCAGAAAACTTCAAGAAAAAAGAGAAGATCTCTTAACACTGAGTTTTGACTGCCAGAAGAATCTGGTTCTACCTAAGGTTCAGGATCAGACCGCCTACTATAGCAGGCAAATGTATACAGGGTGACTTTGAAGTTGAGTCATTAATTTTCAGATAATGATTGTAGAAGGAAGATAAACCAAAATATTTATGTGTGTAAAAATAAAAAAAAAATAAAAAAAAAATGTTACCTTGTTTAATAAAGTATCCTCCCGACAAGTATTTCAGTGCGGACCTGTATTTGATCGTGCGGTTTTGGAGCAGCATGCCCTCACCTGTGAGGTCTTAAGTCACCTGATTCACGAGCCCTTTGCACTACATTGACAAAGGCACGAGGGGTTGGTTGCACTCGATTGGGAAACCGATTCGTATAAGTCCGTGATGCATCCGGGAGCATTTTGTAAAGACTGCCCCCCCGTAAATAAGAATCATGTCCACAAGTTCAGCATTTTCGTAAACATGTGCCATTTTTGATTTCGTTTGAGCCACGCAACACACTACTATTCACTCAGGATTTATCGACTGACGAAAAACATCGTGATAAACGTTTCAAATTCTTTCGCTTTTTTGTTTCCGATGCGATGAACCGGTCAGGCGGATTATATCCGTTGTCGCCAAACACGAGCATATAATAGGCAGGGCGGTACTCAAACTTCCAAAGGGCTATAACTTTGTTACTTTAATTTTACCAGAAAAATGGTAAAGGAAAAAAACATTTCTTTTGATCAGATCTACTCACTGTTAAAATAAATGACTCAACTTCGAAGTCACCCTGTATATACAATTTCTCAATCGTAAAAGGAAGCTCAAAAGACTCTTTAACTCCGGAAAATGTATATTGTTATACATGGATGGAACATGAACATCGAAAGGGTGCTAATGAATTTGCCTCAGCGGTTTTCCATCAATTGTCACTGCTTGACTTGACATCTTACTCAGTCATTAGATTATGCGCCGATGGATGCGGTGGGCAAAACCGCAACTCAGTTATGATTGGGATGCTGAGCTACTTCTTAGCACGAGTCGCACCTCCAAACATTCAGGAATTACACATGATTTTCCCTATCACTGGACACTCGTTTTTGCCAGCAGATCGTGTGTTTGCTTCCATAGAGAAAAAACTGCGTAAGTTACCAGTAATAATACAACCATCAGAATATGAAACAGTTTTTTCAGAGCATTCCACACTTTTTAAGCTTGGCACTGACTTGAAGGTTTACGACTGGAAAACTTTAGTAGGGACTTACTATAAAAAAACTACATCGTGGCACTTCAAGTTTAACGAAGCAAAGCGTTTCATCCTCACTAAATCCAAACAACAAAATATATTGGTTAGGGGTGAAGTATCTTACAGCAGTGATTCAACAAATGGCAAATTGGTTGTTAAAAATGGTGTCAAAATAAAATCAATCCCATTGCCTGATGAAATACCAATGGGAGTTGCATTGAAAGCAGCTAAGGTCCAAGATGTTAAAAACCTTTTGAAAAAACACTTCGGCGAGACCTGGGACACCATGGAAGAATGCTCCTTCTACAAAAATGTGTTGGGAATCACGGCCGATGTGACAGCTAGCCATACAGCAGCAACAAACGAAACTGATGAAGACCTCGAAGAAGAAGTTAATGAGTTCTGTGAAGGACATAAACATGAACATCTCGTTGAGCGGGTGTAATACTTATTATATTTTCTCAAAATGCATTGAGTTGATCTTAAAGAATCTTAGTTTTGATTTCTTGTAGACATATGTATTTTTCTTTAAGGGAAATAAATGTTTGCTCGTTTATTCCATCTATGTGCCGGATCTACCACCATGTAATAAGCTCATTCCTAAAATAAATTCTAAGTTGAAAATTGTCTCAACAATATATATTATGGGGATTATTCCAGGAATAAGTTTATAGCGCGGCGGTAGAATCGTCCATAAGTGTGTTATTGCGTCAAAACAGCCTATATCCTTATACAGCTGGAGCAAAAGTTCCTTTATCCATTTTGTTACGGCAAATGGTTCTATATCCAAACTCTATAGCTAAATTACATTCGCTTTACTCACTCCACGATTATTTTTGTTGCTTGTATTTGTTTTATAACCCAATAGGAACGGTTCAAAACGAAATTATAGCCGTTACAACTTTTAACTTAGTTAGAACAGTTTTTCGCCAATTGTGGAAAATTAGTGGAAGGGGATATAGGCCCTTTTGCAGTGAGATGCCTCAAGTAGTGAGATTACATCAGTGATCACCGATCATTGAAGATTTATACAGGGTGCTTATTTGAAAACTTTCCACCTCAAGTTTATCGAAAACCACTGATTAAAAGAAAAAACGTCGAGACACGTCAAAAGATTTATCAGCGGGGACAACTTTTTAACGAAAAACTACTTCACCCTTGGCCCCCCAGGGTCATTTCCTTGGAAATTTTAAAAGACAGTGGTTATCGAGTAATAGCTTGTTTGAAACGTCTTTCGAAGTCCTTTATTTTGACGTTTGATGTTTTAAAATAAGTCGATTTGTTTTCGAAAAAATTAGACAAATCTTTATTTATCTTAATTTGTTAAGATAGAAAACAAAAACTCCCGAAAATATCACATCTTATTCCAATAAGTGTTCAAGATGTGGTTTTCGATTAATCCGTGGTGGCAGGTTTTCAAATCAACACACTGCATGTATAACTTGAGTGTTTCCAGGAACATGAGTTTAGTGCAGGCAGCTATTAAAGAAGTTATACTGATACAATATTTGTCCTATTCTATTGATACCGCAGCCTTTCTGATTCCAGTATTAATCGTAAGTATTCTTCGAAGCAGCAGTCATGTCATAGCATCATATAAGAATTTATGACAGCTTCTATATGTTCTTCACCGCAATAATTATGAATCTACTTTGAAAAGTTTAGTGTCTTGCAGATAGCGCTGTACAGGGTGACTTCGAAGTTGAGTCATTTATTTTAACAGTGAGTAGATCTGATCAAAAGAAATGTTTTTTTCCTTTAACATTTTTCTGGTAAAATTAAAGTAACAAAGTTATAGCCCTTTAGAAGTATGAGCACCGCCCTGTCTCAATAATAATATTATGTGTTTGGCAACAACGGATATCGGTTCATCGCATCGGAAACAAAAAAGCGAAAGAATTTGAAACGTTTATCACGTTGTTTTTCGTCAGTCGGTAACGCGTGGGTGAATAGTGATGTTTGTTGCGTGACTCAAACGAAATGAAAAATGGCACATGTTTACGAAAATGCTGAACTTGTGGACATGATTCTTATTTACGGGGGGGCAGTCTTTACAAAATGCTGCCGGATGCATCACGGATTTATGCGAATCGGTTTCCCAATCGAGTGCAACCAACCCCTCGTGCCTTTGTTAATGTAGTACAAAGGGCTCGTGAATCAGGTGACTTAAGACCTCACAGGGGAGGGGATGCCGGTGCTCCAAGACCGCACGATCAAATACAGGTCCGCACTAAAATACTTGTCGGGAGGATACTTTATTAAACAAGGTAACATTTTTTTTTTATTTTTTTTTTTCATTTTTACACACATATTTTGGTTTATCTTCCTTCTACAATCATTATCTGAAAATTAATGACTCAACTTCAAAGTCACCCTGTATATGCTCATACAGCTCATATAAATAGTTGATAATATTGTATTAGCTTTAGCTACAACAATAACACGTTCTTGGTCGAAATACTTCCACAGTCAAAACAATGCGAAAACTAGATATTCACATTTTACAATGTATTATACGAGGTCTGTTAATTAAGTGGTGACACTGGAAGCGTCGGAAACATGTGGCAACACATCAGTTTCGAGCAACGCTAATAAAAAAATCAGTCTCATCACTTTATTTACAGACCTCGTATTTGACACTTCTGAGACGTTGATAATATACAGGGTGGCGCATCGAAAACGAAACAGACGCATTTACTGGCAGCTCAGTTTTTTTTTGAAAAACGCTCAGACCCGTCGATTTTGTTTTCGAAGGGGTCAGAAGTTTGGCAAAAAATCACGTTAACACGTGCAGCCCCCTGGGCGGGGGTGATACCAACCCTAAAATCTTAAATGGAAAGGGGGGTCGAGTGATACCTTATTTTAAAGGTCTTTTAATTCCCTTTATAATGATGTAAAACACATGAGCTTCAGTTCAGTAGTTTTGAAGATTTATTGATTTCAAGTTTAAAGTAGACTTTAATAGGTACATCAGATTAGTTTGCACTACTTTCAGAAGAAATTTGACTAAAAGAATTTGCTTAATAAGTAAATGCTTTTCTTCACTACGCCCATGGTTTGTTTATCATTTTGTTGTTGAAAATAGCTATTGGAGCGTTTTTTTTTGTGGCAAAAAAGTTATTTCTTGAAGAAGGATAAGGAAATATCTCGTACTTATGTTAAATAGGAATTTAGTACATAGTTTGCGATTGGTTTGACCAAACTTTGTTGCTAAAATACCTTGTAAAGCTTTATTACATAAATTAACCATGGTATATTCCACAGCAGAAAGAGTTGAAATTATCGAAATATTTTTCGGAAATAATCAGTGCGCTAATAGAATAGCAGAAATATTTAATGAGCGACACGAGAACAGTAACGTGCATCGAAAATACGTTCTAGAACTTGTAGCTAAATTTCGGGAAACTGGGTCAGTCGCCAATAAAAAACGCAACATTGAAAATCCCATAAGGAACGAAGCAATAGAAGTGGGGGTTTTAGGGCAAGTTTATGTAGATCCTACGTTCAGTACCTGCAAATTGGTGTTAGTCGACGTACTGTCCAACGGATTCGAAAGGCCCATAGTTTTCATCCGTATAAAATTCACCTGGTACAAGAACTTAATGAAGACGATTTTGATCGACGATTACAATTGTGTAAAGATATGAGTGAACGAATTATAAACGATGAACATTTTCTATACAACACTTGCTTTTCCGACGAATGTTCGTTTTTCTTAAATGGCGTAGTAAATCGTCATAACTGCCGATATTAGTCCGATTCTAATCCCAGAATTTATCATTTGGTTCATACACAGCAGCCACAAAAATTAAATGTTTAGGCTGGTATTTTAGTTGGTCCTTTTTTCTTACCTGGAAATTTGACCGGTGAAATGTATTTGGAATTACTGGAAGACGCCATAGATCCTGCATTAACAGAAAAAATTGAAAATCAGAATGATCGGCGGTACATTGCGAATAGGTTGATGTTCCAACAGGATGGTGCCCCACCATATTACGCATTACGTGTTCGACAATATTTAGATCAGACGTTTCCAGATCGATGGATTGGTAGAAGAGGTGCCATTGAATGGTCCCCAAGATCGCCAAATGTATCACCTTTGGATTTCTTTATGTGGGGTCATTCAAAAAGCAAAATCTATGCTACTCAGCCAACATCATTGGAAGACCTGCGACAAAGAATTGTGAATGAGTGCCTTCAAATTACTCCTCAAATATTGCAAAATGTGCGGCAACGTTTTGAGCAAAATCTTTATTATTGCATGGAGAGTCATGGTGGCCATTTTCAACATTTACTTGCCTAACGGGTCAGTTCATTCTTCATTTTTAAATTACTTTGCTGCCAAATGTATTGATCTCCACTAATGATGATGTATTAGTTTTATTTAAGATTTAAATCAATAAATCTTCAAAACTACTGAACTGAAGTTCATTAATTTTATATTATTATAAAGAGAATTGAAAGACCTTTGAAATAAGGTATCACTCGACCCCCTTTCCATTTAAGATTTTGGGGGTGGTGTCACCCCCGCTTAGGGGGCTGCACGTGCTAACGTGATTTTTTGCCAAATTTGTGTCCCCCTCGAAAACAAAATCGACGGGTCTGAGCGTTTTTCAAAAAAAGAAACTGAGCTGCTAGTAAATGCGTCTGTTTCGCTTTCGATGCGCCACCCTGTATCTTGATCCAATATTTTCAGGAAGAAATTTTCGTGCAGAGGATCCGATTTATGTTTGGACTTTTTATGGCTGTTTCTCAAATGTTTGTATTTTTTTGGTTTGCTAACGTCTTACAAGTAGAGGTAAGTAGCAACTGCGGCTTTTGATTGATATCTGACGTTCACACGTTTGTTCTTTTCGTCGCAGAGTGCAGAGATTTGCCATTTCCTCTACAACGAAAACGATTGGTTAAAATGCGACAAAGACCAGTCGAAACTACTGCAGATGATGATGACAATGTCACAAAGACGACTTGTGTTAAAGGCAGTTGCAGTGGGGGAAATGGATATCGGCTGTTTCACGAAGGTAAGGGTTTGAGAACATCTAAAGAAAGTTTCGTTGATACTTGAGTGGGTGTGCATTTGAAATCTCTTTAACTTTTCAGATGATGAGGCTCTGCTACTCGATAGTCACGTTTTTCTTCACCGTGTATACCAAGTAATACCACCGTGTATACCAGCTTACAATTTGCAAATAGTTACGTTGCACCTTACTCAAACCTCATTTACTCCACGACAAAATAATCAAGGGCACTCTATCGCCTGCGTTAATGGCCCCCTGGCCAATAGAAGTGTATAAATTTAAACGTCGGTGGTATTTGCTTTGACGAGGAATAAATGAGGATGGAATACACAATAGTTATGCGTAGCTTAATAATTTGTTTTTCCCTAGATAGTCTAGCAAATATATTCTTCGCAGTCAGGTATTTTTCTCTACTTCACAAACGATTACGTCTTTTTACAACGCATGCCCAATAGGGAACGATATGTTAGCGATCATTATATGAATAGCTCCTAAAGAAGTACCGACCTCAGTTCTGGGGTGAGTCTTTAAATCACTTGATAATGTAAGTATACAGTAATGGGATGTAGATTGACAGGTGAAATTTTACTCTGGAATACCATGTAACTCTATTTTTGGAACGCCTAAGTTATTACAGAGTCATGGGATGACACTTGACGTCAGCCGACTGATTTCTCACCACGTTTTCTGCGACCATTGTATTTTTTATTAGAAACGCTATGGATACCAGGTAGCCCATTTATCCTGAAAGATATACATAATTCGATTCTGCCAATTTTGAGCACGTTTTGATAACCAAATAAAGTAAACTATGAGAATGAGAAACGACAACACTGTTATTTTGAGAACGGGAAGAAATGCGCACCTTTGACGTTCCAGAAGGATTACTCTGTCCCGTTTTCGAACAGTTGCGTCAAGCAAGTACATAAAACGCATTTTTTTACAGTTCCTGCCATCTCTCCGTCCCCAATTTCCATCTCGTCCTATCAAAAACCTCCTTCCTCTAAGGTCATCCCTTCTTCAATGTCATCTCGTCAGCTCCTTCTTGGCCGACCCCCCTTTTTTCTGATGGAATCCATTCTAGGACCTTTCTGGGCCATCTGTCCGCATTCATCCGTTTTACATGCCCGGGCCAAGTTAACAGCCTTCAACCAAATACGAACTTTAAAATTGTTACACTTCTCACTTGTCAGTAGCCGTTTTGGTTACCAGCTGTAGTGTGCATGCAATTAAAGATGGATGAGTGTCGCTGCGTAATCGAACAACTACTTGAAAAGTAATTTTCCTTGTATAATTTTTAAGAAAAAAAGGAGATCATCGAAAATGGAAGACCGACACCTATTTTAGATAATTTCAAAAAGGAATAAAAAAACGTAGTTTGATAGTTTAAATTAAGTTGGTATATGGAAACTCTTGGTTATGTGGTTGCAAAAAATAGATTGTATTGTTGGCGATGCTTTCTGTTTTATACAGAAAAAATGGGTGGACCAGCAGCGGAGTCAACGATTTAAATAATTTCACCAACATTAATATTATGGACCAATAGGAAAATACCTTATCGAAATGCAATTTGACGGAAGCTGTCAAAGGTCTCAGAATATCAGTGATTTCTATTGAAATGTTGAATAAAATCGTGAAAATTCGACTGTATTATAAACAAGATCCCTTTTTGATTCCAACATGATGCTTTTGTACAGAGAAAACAGGACAACTTTCATGTATTTTGATTTATGTTATAGGTGTACATTTGCCATCCGTTATCCCCTCAGCGAATGGGAATGGGAGAAATAATAGGTCGATTTTCTACCTGTTAAATTTGGCAGCAGGTTTGGTCGTTTGTTAATTCATGGCAATCTCGAAATTTGTTAAGTTCAATATACTGTGTGTATATGTGATCATTATAGCTACCCATACCTGTTGAATTGTGCGTATTTGCAAGAAAATAGAATATAAAATGTATTCCAACCAATTCCTCATCTCTCTTTACATCATAATAGTAATCATTTGTTATAAATTCATGGGTTAATGAATTTCTTCAAAGCAATCAAAACAGTATTGTCGTCCCCATCCTAAAGCACCGATATGTGTAAAACATGTTAATCCCTACATCTCCGAGGTGCATAATGCAATTACTGTAGACATAGACCTAAAATTATTAGTAATTACTGAAAAATAAGAGCTAAAAAGAATTATAAATAGTGATAAAATATTGGTGGTTAAGGTTTTTGACTGGTGACTGGTGGGGATCCAATATAGGGATGGCGACGATAGACGATACATTGATGTATCGAAAACATCGATACATCGGACGTAGAACATCGATCTTTACGCATCGATGGTTTCATGACGATATATCGATATCGAGAGGAATCATAAACATCCGTAACCGTATGCCCCGAGTGTATCCTTAACTGTGCTACCATCTCTAAGCGAGGAGTGGTAGCTTCGAAATTGAAAGGCCAGAACGCTATTTAGGTGTTTAGTAGTATTTGAATATTATCATTACAGACGAGCACTGAGCCACTGAGTGGCCACTGAGCACTGCAGTCTTTTCTTCATTCTGTACTTCCCCAAGGGATAGAATAAAATAGACTGAAAACAGCGCGTTTAATGATTTTCAGTTCTCAGAGAAAGATTTTCTCCTGCCGGCCCTTGACATCGTTACGAAATATGAAATTCTGGAAACGCTATAAAAATAAAAATGAATACACAAGGCCTAGTTACCTATTTCAGACAAGAACAAAAACAACTGCCACATAACGATTGTCACCTTGACATCATTCTGCAATCTGTCAAAGTAGTGATGGGCGTGCCTGCTGCACGGTATACGGTATCGATATTCGATAAAATATTTTCCTTTCTACCATGAATGCGTGGAAAAAACAAAATAAGGAGAGATCTAAAATAAGGAGTTATTGAAGGCCTAAAATAGCCAGGCGCTAATAATTCCTGGCCGTATTTGAATATCTAAGCAGGCACAAAAAAAAACAAAAGCAAGACTTGGAATTAATAAAGTTCATTTCGTCACAGTTGGCAGAGTTTGCTCCACTGGGACGACGTGTTGTCGGATACCACAGAATTATGTGTCAATTGTTGATATTGTTAGTTGTATCAGGAGATAATCAACTGTTATTCAAATCAGTGTATATGTTTTGTGATTCAAATTACGTCTAATATAAATATAACCCAGAATATGTACTCAGCGAAAAAAGAAAAATATTGCAAATTTCTAGTTTTTTTGCAAGTTTCAGGTTTGCTGGTAGCTCTACGACATATATTTGGGTATTTCTTAGTCGCTGTGAATATAGTGTGTTAAGTTCCTGAACAACGAAAAGTATTCAACTTTATGCATGTATGGATATTAAAAAACCAGAATGGTTTTGTGGGAATATCAATCTAAGGTGCCATAATGGTTCGGATGAACGGCAAGTAAATGAATGAATGTTTGGAAACGAGCAATATCTATGAACTTTTTGGTAGAGCCAGTCATCAAGTAGGTGCTTAATGGCTATCTGCAAGAGGTTTATAGGAAAAAACACCCAGTAGAATATAAACATGAATAAACAATCGATAATATTAAATAAAAGCAAGAATTTTATTCAAAAACTTCAACACTTTTTTAAATTTTGACTGAATTATGAGTAATTTCTTAATATTCAATAAGCTGATGATGTTTCAATGACAAGATGTGATCTCATACCTTGACAGTATTTTATTTTCAACACTTCATAGCTATTTGTTGCTAAAATTTGTTGATTGGAACTTGAGGCTCATTCGCTGTATTTGACGGGCTGTTACCCTATAGGTGGAGAACAACGGACTGTTGTTGGTGAAATTGGCCCATAGGGCTCTAAAGAGGAGACATGACATTTCTCCGTTACAAGTGAGATGTGTAGCCAATTTAATACAGTTTGGCAAGACAAGAATCGAAAGTTGTCTCAACCAAGCTTTTAGGCAGCACACTTCTAGATACCGTATGTTTTTTGGCAAAACAGGAATTACCGTTCATTTTGTAGTGGAGGACTCTGACAATGGAGGAAATTACAGCGAATTGTTAACATTTATTGCCAAAAAAGATCAAAAAGTTTCCGAACATGTAGAAACGTCGACTGTTTTTTCGGACGGCTTGGATTAGTCATAGCATAAGACGATGAGGTATATCAAGTGCCCCAGACGCTCAGTCCAGGAATGTTTACCTTAATAGTTTAAATAAAATACCTAAGATAAGCAAAAACTTATATTTGGGAGGTTCAAAATAAACTTTTTTTGGTAACAGTTTAGGAAAAGTCAGGCGTCGCCACTGCAGAGTAGTACAAAGTACACTCTGTGCCAATTTACGAACGCAGCCCAAATAACAACTAAAAAATAACCAAAACACAAGTTTTATTATCCGTCTAGGTATCTTGTTAGGAAACATTTGGAGACAGGGATTCACAAAGGAACGTTGGCTGCAGCTGCGGCTTGAACGCAAAGTAGTTTCAGCAAATTAGTGTCTGCTTCAATTAAAATTCCGATACCCCAGCACACATGCCACAAAAACCTCAATTTACGAGAATAGTTTCAGTAAAGGCTGGAGAGCTGGAATAGGCTGTTGTATAGGGTTATGCAGTGCAGATTGATCCCCATACAACGAGTAAGGTTTGATGGAATATTTCTGTATAGGTTGTTTATACATTTAAAGGGTACCGAGATATAACGACACTAGTCCGTACGGAAAGATTTTGAGAAAACCGGTAATTAAGGTTTACTTACTTGTTGGAACGTAAAATTGATGAAAAAATAAGTCGTAAAGAATATATTTGCTAAACAGTTATTGGTAAAATAGATTAAACAAAATGAACTTTTACTCAACACTAGTAACGTAACCAACAAAAGATGATGTTCAACTCTGGACTCGTGATACTTTTCCCCTGCTGTAAGCGTCTATTGGCGGATCATCGACATATTCATCACTGCTATCTTCTGGATGATCAAGAGATATTAACTGTTGATAAAATGCCCTGGAATCTGCTCTCTCTAGAAATTTGCTCAGATCCTGCAGATCCCTCCATTTCTTACTTTTAATTCGGTTTGGGCCCTTGGTAAAGTTTTCTCAATGTTTCCTCTTCTCGTTTTTGTAGATCTTTTTGCGTCTTTTTTAGATTCTTCCGAATTACCTTATTAAATTTAGAACTAGCATATAGGTCCATGTATGTCGATTTGTGAAAAACTACGCGAGGATTCTGTTTACAGACTTGAGC